TGAACTTTATGAGAATGAGCATGTGAATGTGTATGTGTACATGATGATGAAGCTACATGAGATGCACAACGAGCATTAGCATTCTTAGGCTTGTGTGCATCATAGCAAAAATTAGCTAAATGGCCTTTTCGGCCGCAAATAGAACACTTGTGAAGTTTGCTATACATGTGTGCATGATGTGTGATATGTTTAGGTGTAGTAGCATAAGACTTAGCACACATGTTCATAAGCTTATCATGATTTACCATACATGTTTTCAAGGTTGAATCTAAACACGATATGCGATGTTTAACTTGACTCAACTCATCATTTTGCATACATGTATTGGAAATAGAAATAGAGCATGGGTGGTTATTCTTAAAAGAATCAAATTTATTTCTAATGCATTCTACTTCTAACATGGCACTATCTTTAGCATGAGATAAGCTAGACATGGATAAGTTTAATTTTTCATTTTTCAAATTTAACACGTCATTGTTTTCTTTAAGCATAGTATTTTCTTTTGCAATGACATCAAATTTGGACACTAGTATCTCATGATCGGATTTTAAATCTACATGCTTGCTTTTTAGATCTATAAAATTATTTTGCAACTTGGTGTAGGCATGCATTAATCTTTCATATGCACAAACGAGTTCATCAATAGATAAATTATTATCAGAATCGGAATCGCTTACTACACAAGAGTTATCCTCTTGTGGCTGTGTGCATGATGCTCCACATGAACTTGAAGAAGAATCCTCCAAAGCTTGTCGGATTGCCTCCAAGTCCCCTTGATGTGCTTTAATAAATTTTTAAAGTTTATAAGCACTATCAAAATGAACAAATTTGTTAGAAAAGGATGAGTCAAAAACATTCAGCAAAAATTCTAACAAAAACTTGTTCATTGTAAACATTTTATGATCATGTTTGCTCCACTTGGATTTCTCCGAAGTGGGCACAATGTAAGCATCGTCTATAATTTCCCACAAATTAAAATGTCTAGATTGAACAAAAAGTTTGAATCTAACACGCCACTAGGCATAAGGGAAACTATCTAATCTAGGAGCAATATTAATGGCATAGCCTTAGCAAGGTGCACCATGCATATCCATAATATATATATATATATATACAAGATACAAATAAAATCAAAAATTGAATTAGTATAAAAAGATAACTTGGATCTTTAACTCGTGCACCGTGCATATCTATAATGTATATTTGTGCAAGCAAGATACAAATAAAATCAAAAATTGAATTAGTATAAAAAGATAACTTGGATCTTTAACTCAAGGCGATTAGACCTTAAATCAAAGAGCACCAAGCTCTGATACCAATTGTTAGACCCTAATGCCACTAGGAAAGAACCCTAGATGGGTTGGTTAGGGTTTATACTAATCTAATCCGATTTAAATACCAATTAAAACTTATTAACAAATTATCCTAGTAAGTATGATATACAACAAGATATATGCAAGGATAAGTGATATGAACAAAGAGATATATATCCTAGCAAAGAGGTATATGGTGAAATATATGCAAGGATATATAAACTAACACAAAGGGTAAAATAATCATAAACAAGATAAATAAGATAGTGGGCAATATAAACAATGAAAATTGATAAATGTGATATAATAATAAACACAAAAAAATAAGTGCGCCAATGCAATCACAAACAAACGATATGTTCACGAGGTTCGGTCCCCACGACCTACGTCCCCGCTCCTCACCTCGAGGAGATCCCTACTATCACAACCAGGTTTTCTATGCTCACCTGAATAACGTTTACACCTCAAACTCGGTTTTCTAGTTCACCGAAAACTTTACAATCAACACTCTTGCAATCACACTTTACACCCCCTCAAGTATTGGTCTCTAGCCCGTGTCTCCCTCAAATGTTAGGAATTACAACCTACCTCTAGGCATTATCACCTACCCCACTCCTCTTGGTATGACACCGTCTCTCACCACACACTCCTCTCGGTATACAAGTATATTACAAAATGTATCTCACAATTAGGCTCAATAATAAGATTTGTTCTCTACAATGGATGAGAACTCTATGCAAGCTCACTCTCAAAGAATATAATCTCACAACCCTAAATATACTATGTATGAAAATACTTAGGCTCAAGTGGGTGTGTGTAATCAATGAGAGATAACAACTAAACTTAAATCAATCTAGCACAAATATGTATGAATCAAAATATAAATAAGCTAGAAGATAAGTTTAGAAAAACTTCTCTAAGAATTAAGAGCGAGAGAGAATGAGATTGAAGCCCAAAAACTAAACAAATGATCTCCTCCTCTTGTAAACCTCTTTTTGCATAAACTAAAACAATCTTCAAAACTTGAAACAAACTCTCACAAACTTGTAAAACTTGTTTTAAAACTCTCTTAAACATCCATAAGAAACAATAAAAGTTGAGGGATTTTTATAGCCTCTTAAACCAGCCATAAACCCTCAAAAACCGAGAATATCAAAAACTAGCCATTACTAGCCGTTATAGGCTGAAAAGACCAAAATACCCCAAAATCCAGCATTCTAAAAATTTACGTATCTGACTTTATAAAATCAATTAAAAATAGTAAATCAACTGAAAAAATTATGAAATTTTGTATAATATTTGTAGACATGTATATAAACATGGTAGAGAAATAATTTCTGAAATATAACTTCCCATTTGTGAGAAATAAATATTTTAAAACATATATTCTAGATTCTAAAAACTGCTAAAATACTTGATTTTGTAAAATCAATTCAGTATAGTAAATAAACTCCAAAAATGATAAAATTTTGAGAAAATGTTCTAGACATGTATATAAACATGTTAGAGAAATAATTTCTGAAATATCATTTCCCAGTTGATATAAATAACTATTTTACCACAGATATACAGTTTCTAAAAAAACTGCTGAAAACTTGGTTTTGTAAATTAAAATAATCATAACAAATTAATTCCAAAATTGATAAAAATTTAGGAAACATTTATAAACATGAAATTGAACATGTTAGAAAAAAAATTTTTCAAATTGAATTTCTCATTTGTGAAAACTCATATATTTTGCAAGTGTGTCCAAAACATGGAAATGTGATATACATGAAATTTGATGTTTTGACATAAACAATGTTTTGAAACCCTATGAAATAATTTTATAGACTTAATGAAATATGTATACAATGATTGTTAAGTTCATAAACCAAAACTTGTGTATATATAAGACTTAATGAAATATGTATACAATGATTGTTAAGTTCATAAACCAAAACTTGTGTATATATATAACTACATATATAAAAACCAAATATGTGTGTGTATATTTGATTGAGCTTAAAGTACTAACACACATAATGTAAAACCTAAACTAGATATACCCAAGCTTGATAGGTCTTCGATGAGCTTGACTTGGTACACTTTGCGGATGAAACTTGAACTTGAATCTTTAACTTGAATTGCATAGGCTTCACTCCACAATTCCGCCAACCTCCATTGGATATGATCATGAATGTGCAATTTCATCCATCCACCAACATGTTGTTTGTCTACAATAAATAGATAAACATAAACACTAGACAAACAACATTAGTTATAAATTGTTTGTTAAACATCATCAAAACAAGAAGGCCAACACTCTAAACATCATAACTAGTGGACAATAAAAAGAAACTCTCATACGCACTTTCTAATAGGTGTAGTTGTCTCGTCGACAAGTGATGATTGGTTCACAATGTGTCCCTCAGGAAAGGCTGTTGTGACAGTAAAACTAGACATTTCTACTCTATATTGTGAATCCTAAATATGGGTAATAGGGCTATAATACCACTTTTTAGATCTGAGATGCAAGTCTAGAGGGGGCGAATGGGTTGCTACCGTTTTTCGCTAAAAAACACATAATAAGCAACGTAATAGAAAAACAAAAGCGAAAAACTACCGGTTAAGGACACACAAGATTTAACAATTCTACATCCACTATTCTTTCTCATAAAGAGGCTTCCTCACTATGCTAAGAGTTCTCCTGATTCATAACCCCGATTAAGTACTCTTACAAATATCGCACCCTGAAATCTACCCAAAATCAGTCATCTAACCTTACTCTCTACAATGAGTAACACCTAGCCCTATCTAGTACCAACCCTTAATTAATACCGGCTTGAGTACACCATAAAATAAGTTTGAAACAAACCGACAAACACAGTTTAACCATAGAAAATAAGAAAGATCTTACAGCCTTTTTCGATTAACAATCCATCTTTCAATGAATCGAAGTGAAGCTTGACGAAGAAAGATCTAGATGATAAAATTAAGGGCAACTCTCCTTGTTGAGATGATTCGAAGGTGATGAGCGTGACGAGAAAGAGTTTATTTAGGCTCCGAGGGTTCAAAACTCTAATTCAATCTTCTTCAAACAAACCGTAGAATTTTCTCTCTTCAAGCTCTCTCCTTTAATCTGTCTCTTTCAATCTTATATAGCCTCTAATTAATCAGGAAAGAGATATCATCTATATAGCCTCTTTCAAAACCGCCGCCACCATCGATGGTTGCTTACGACCATTGATGGGTCCCTAAGCACCATCTATGGGTGCCAGTAAACCATTGATGAGTTGAAATCTTGTTTATGGAAACCTGCAATTGGTTCACGGTAAACCATCGACGGGTCAAAGATTGAAAAAAGCTTTCGTGCTGATTTTCACGTCATTTCGCCTCGTACACTTTGTATACTTGTTTTCACCTATGTCATATCATTTTAAACAATTATCAGTAGCAAATAAAAGTTTGTTATCACTCAAATAAGAGCTATTTTACATACCACATCGTAACAGTCAAAAATCAAACCGAACTGACGGATGCTCACCCTAATAGTCCTCCAAAGTTGAGGGTTTTTCTAATATTAAGTCTTAGTTGTATAAGGAATCGAACATTTAGTTCTAACTCCATTAAATTAATTAATTAATTAAAACCCAGGAAACTGTATAAATAAAAATAATAACAATCAGACCTTCACCATTCCTCCGGTCTTTTCTTTTGCCAGCTCTTCGTCCTCTTCGTCCTCATCCTTCCTCTCTTTTCGATTTCGTGCTTGCTTCAGTAGCATCCTCGGAAACGTATTAATAAACAATGGGGTCCCAGTCTCTCCTCGGCGATTTGCCATCTTTCGATCCGCACAATTTCAGCCAGCTTCGGCCCTCCGATCCTACTGCTCAGCCTTTGGTAATCCTCTCTCCCTCGCTAATTTTGTAATTTCTTTTCTTTTTGACAGCTCTGATTTCCCCCTAATTTAGTTTTATTTTCTCTTTAGATAATGTGTTTTTAGCTGGGGGTTTTGATCACGTGTCGTAGTTCCTTGCAGTACCTTCGATCGAGTGGAAAAGAAATTTGTTGCGAAGAAACTGACGTATACGCAAATCCTAACCTTCCCTTTTCCTCTAAGAAGCTTACGTACTTGGGTCTGTCTTGAATTTTAATGATTTCGAAATGAGTAAAAAGAGTTTGCGAAACAAAGATTTTACGTTTATCTCTTCAGCTGTTAAAAAAAATGGTCTGCTATTTCACCTTGAATCGGTACCAATTTGTTTTGTGTTGTTTGATTGTGAATGTCTTGTGCTTATCAATCGTGGCCCTTTTGATAGAGAGACTTAGGGTACCTTTTAATTTCGCTTGTTCATTGTCCGTGAGAAGTCGGCAGTTGTTAATTTTGCTCTCTTTTTAACTATAGCGTTCATGTGTCAACCCTTTATCGGGTTATCTACTATACTTTAAGCATTTTGCTCTCTTTTTAACTATAGCGTTCATGTGTCAACCCTTTATCGGGTTATCTACTATACTTTAAGCTGAAATATTTTGGTAAATGCGACTCGTTCATGTGTCAACCCTTTATCGGGTTATCTACTATACTTTAAGCTGAAATATTTTGGTAAATGCGACATTATGTAGTTACGTGTTCTTTACTTATATTCACAGGGTACTTGGTTTGGGACAGTATTACTCCTAGAAACTGTTATAGGAGGCATAGAGGATCATAAATCATTTTAGCAATGCCAAGAGCAAAAAAGTAAATTGCCAATATCTTCTTGTCTCATTGTTATTGTCGTTAACTTTTGAATCAACATTGTTAATATTTTCAGCATTATCAATAGCTAAATGTTATTGATCAAATGTATATGTCTGCAATGACCAAATAGTCAAATATTGCATGGTGTAATTTTCAGCACAATAATAGTCTAACACTATTTAATCATTTATTTGCTGTTTTGTAGTTTAGGAACACTATTAGCTTATTTATTTTGTAGATATTTGGTTCAAAGTCATAACTGGTCAGAGAAATGCTCTTGGTTCCCTTTCTTTTTCCCATGCTAGTATGCTATTTAAAAATACTAGCTCACAAAGGTTATCATTTTCTACGGTCAAATCATTTTGATTGGATTGGATTGTTTCTACCAATCGTTAGTTAGCTTTGGTGGAAATGTTGGTAAAAGAGAGAACAATGAGTTGATGATATAATCAATGTAGGTTTACTTGTTGCAACAGAAAGTGTAGTATCAAGCTCACTTGCTAAATCATAAAGTTTATGAATCACTCAAGGTGTGTTTTTCTAAGTTCGGCAAGGTTTTATGAATTGATAATAGTATTAAGTGAAAAACACAAATATATATATATATATACACACACACACACACACACACACACACACACACACACACACACACACACGAGAAAATAATATTTATTTAAAAGGTTGTTGGTGCAGTAAATGGGTTGCACTTGTATATTTATTGTAAAGATTTATAGTTATATCAGAACAGTGCAAATGTTTCATTGTTGTTCATCATGAGCACCTGACTTGCCCAATCAACTCTGTACAAAGTACATAGCATAGATTGGCATGCACTTTCCTGTGATGAAATTATTTCCTTGATGATTGGATGTTGTGCATTTGAAAGGTAAGTGTTTTTTTAATTAATTCCTTGTTTGCAGATGTTGAAGTTGTGTTTTATTTTTGTAGCAGAAGCCCTGTCTGCTAGAATTATGAAGAATGTCTTAGATGTCACATTTGATAGGGAAGGTCGAAGATTTTTTTTATTGTGAAGGACCAAATTGGATATAAGCAACTTTGGTTAGCTAGACATATGTAAAATCTCAAATTTCAGTTTGTTATTGGACTTATAACGGTGAGGGTGAGGTGAGGATATCAAGTGTTCCTTTATGCATACTTCAGGTTTATCCAGTGCCATTATCGTTTAGGGATTCACTTGAAACATATTGGATTTATATGCCAATTTATATTGGAGTCATATCAGGATTTTTTTTATTAGGTTAGACGAAATTGCAACAACTAACCAAAAGATTGAGATTTTTTGTTTCTTTATACATCCAGTACTGTTCTCTTCGCTTAAAATAACCAATCGGTCATGTTACTTGTCAGTGTTGTTTTGCTCAGTTAATTCTCCTAACTGGTAGTTACAATTTGGTCACTAAAAAGTCTAAACCATTGTGTAATGCGTATACAGTATAAACTGAGTTGATGCTAGGTAGTGCATTGTCGTCTAATTAATGTGCCATAAGTTCTCTTTTATCATACCTTATGATGTTTATTCATATTATAATCATATTTTGATAACCTGTTCATCGTACAGAATTCACTTGTATGGTTTCTGAAACACAACTTTTACTTCTTATGCATATGAGATTATGTGGAAACTATTTAAAGTTGCATTACTTCTGAGACTGTCTTTTGTTTTTTCAGAAACTCACACCAGCCACTTATCATCCTACCCATAGTAGGACCCTTCCTCCGCCTAATCAAGGTACTTTTATGAAAGAATTATTGAAGATCTTTGCAAATTCATAACATGTGGTTATATATGTATCTTGTTTACCTCTAATTAGTTTTCTGAAAGAAGGTAGCCTACATTGGGTAGAATGTTAACCACAGTCCCTGCTTAACTTGGTTGTTCATCATTTGAAAAACTAGTAACCTGAGGCTAATGAACTTTGAGCTCTAGCAGTGCACTCAAAGTTCCAGCAGCTATAAGCAATTAGTGCTTATGTATTTAGGTATTGTAACTACTAAAGTCCATGAACAGGATGGGAGAAAACACTGTCCATCTAGCCATCATGTTCCTCTATGGCATTGTATTCTTCTGTGATATCATATGCCTATTGGTTTAAGTCCTTACTTCAACCTACAGATTGGTGGCCTTAAATAACTACGTATTTATGTGTTTCTTCTTGTTTTATTTATTAATTCCTATTGATATGCTGTTTAGAATTTCAAATCTTCTCATCTTGTGTTCAACCTTTATCCAGTTAAATTAATGGTTTCAGCAACTTCCAGTCCTTGTTAGCATATGCAATTTATTTTCTTTAGGGTAAATTTACTAAATGCCTAATAAGTTTGGGCCTTCTGTACTTAAACCCCACAAAGTTTGAAACTCTCATTACACCCCTAATAAGCTTGGGAATTTCAGATAAACCCCCAAAATGTTTTGACGTTTTGCACTTAACCCGCATAATGATGTAAGCACATATTTGAGTTCCCAAACGAAGAGTAGTGCATAAACATGGTAATGTAGGCATTGGAGTTGAAGTGAAAAAATGGAAATGTTTTGGGAGTTTTCTGAAATTCTCGAACTTATTGGGGGTTTTAGTGAGGATCTCAAACCTTTGGGGGTTAAGTGCCAGTGGCCCAAACTTATTGGGGGTTTAATGAAGTTTGCCCGTTTCTTTACTTTTTCTTCACAACTCTTTAATATCAAAGTCAGGACAATTTAACAGGGGGTGGTGAACTGCTTGTTGAATGCGAAGGATACCTTATGTGTTGATACACAAACAGACTGACTGAAACATGCACGCACATTTTAGCTGGAAACTATTGGACAACAGCTGGGGCTTGGTAGCTAGAAACTATATTTAATTTGGGCATATGGACTTGACTATGGCACAGTGACTCAATGGTATACTGCATAAAGCATTGGATCCAAAGTAAGCACAACCGGAAGAAAGTACATAAACCTAATCTCACTATTTCCAGACAAATCATCTTCTTCAGGTCAATTGCCATAACTTCACCAGCATCACTACGTTAGGCTTTGAACTTTTGTTCTGCTTCAGACTCAGAAATTCTAGAATTCCTCTTTGACGTTTCGAACTCTTATTTCTGCACCATTCTCGGTTATTTCATATGTTAAGTTCATAGGTTAACAGGAATTTAATATCTGACTTTTCTTTTGCTGCTTCGTAGTAATATCAACTGAAGCCCGGAACATTCTTGTGAGACAAATCTACAGCAAATCTGAAGATAAGGTGAAAACTTGATATGTTTATCATTTTATTGAAGTGCAACTTCCATGTTTATCATCTAACTGCTCACATACTGATCCATGCAGTTGAGACCAAAGAGACCTGCGTCAGACCATCTGACCCCTGATCATGGATGCAAACAGCTGAGAGGTGCCGTCGAGGGCCCTTTCTAATATTCTTCTGTCTATGTATCGATCAAAGTGATTGGAGTATTCTTGTTGTTTATGTGCACTTACCAAGTTGTCCATGTTCTTATGTAGTGAAAAACCTCCCGTTAAAGATACGTGTAAGCGTTTAATTTCCTTTGTAGATGACTGACTGATTACAAGTAGTGCTTATAAATAGTACATGTATTGTGGGTTATAAGAATGTAAAGGTGCAAATTTATATATATGGCGGATTTAGGGAGGATTTTATAACCTCCCTAAATCTGAAATTTTTATAACCTACCAAGATCTGAAATTTTTCTACTTCGGTTTGGGTGGGATTGCGGTCAACCGGTCCAATTGACACCCACAATAATAATGTGAGCGTGAGAACCACTCATATGCGAGAGATTTTTTTTTGAGTGGTATGAGGAGATAGTTTGCGTTGGAGTTTCATGCTATGATACTCCGATATAATATCTATTTGATTTTACTACGGGTGTCGGCTCCTCTTCGTTCGTGAAGTGCAAAATGCACTTGATTGTTGAAGTATAATCTAATGCTAAAATGTGACCCGTCGGAATTGAGCGGATATCGTAGAACTTTCGCGATACACATCGTTACCCTTGATCGTTTTAAATATTACGTTTTAATCCTAAACTGATTAGTATGTGCATCATCAAGCTAAACTATGCATAATTAGAAAATTCCAACAATCAAATATTTGGTAATTCTAATCAAATCATGACTATCCATAAGTCAAAAAAATAAAAAACTTTATGATTTATCCATTGATAAGACCTAAGATATTTTGAAAAACGTATTAGGGTTTGCTTCAACTAATCAATGAGGATATAAGAGATTAAAATTTACTCATTAAAAGCTAATTTTCAAAAAAAACAACTTTTAACTTTGGACGATTATCCGATAGCCCCCCATAACTTGCAAAATATCTTAGGACTCCCCTTCAATTTAGGGTTAACAATTTTAACTTTAAAGTTTTTTTTTCGGGGGGGAAAATACTCAAAACCCTTCTATATTTAGCTTGGCTTTAGCCCTTAAATTGTGCATATTTTCAAAAAAATACCCCTCAAATCTCACTATTTATAAAAGGCTAAATTTAAAAAATGCCTCTTAACATTGGGCGGTTATCAGATGACTCCCAACAACTTTCAAAATATAAGAAACCACCTTAAGAGTAGGGACTTAAGGGATTATAAAAAAAAACCATTTAATTTTAAGATTTTTCAAAAAAAAAAAAACTACTCAAAAGGGCTTATTAGCTAAAACCCCTGCAAGTTTAAGATTTTTCAAGAACAAACCACTCGAAAGGGCTACGTTGTAATGTTTTCTTTCTGTATTTAATTTTTATTATTTTATTTTTATACCCCTTGAATCAGGTATCATATTTACTCCCTTTAAAAGCATGAGTTAGAAAAAATCTTTTTTAGACAAATATACCCCTATAAAGTTTGAACTACCCTATCTATAATCAAATTCTAATTTTTAAATTTAATTTAATGATGAGAAATGATGATGTTATAATACTTGTAATTATAACATAGTATAAATCCCCGATTGAACTTACAATTTATTACACCCACGTGATTAAACTTATAATTCCCGATTGAACTTTTGATTAGGAAATAATATTCTTATCTGTAGACTTATTGATGACATAGTATAAAGCCCCGATTGAACTTTTGATTAGGAAATCCCAATTAAACTTTTGATATCCTAATAACACCCAAGATTAGAAGAAGCAGGTTTCTAGATGCTCTTATCTGTAGAATCCTATCTTAAAAAGTTCTGCTTAACCACGAGCCTTGACATTCTTGCTATTTAAAATCCAATGGTTAGTAGATGACCATGTAATTAATGAGTTCCAACTAAACTTGATCTTATCCACGTCCTAATACATCAAAGTCAAGCCAATAACTTGCTTTAGATGTTGACTGGACATTTCTTATACCCGTAACACAATTTTTTTCGAAAGAAATAAATTCATAACACAAATTCAACCCACCTATACCCGTAACACAATTCAAATCCTAATAAAACTCTAATTATGAATATTATTCTATCACATGCAATACCTCATGCCTATATATAAACCTAGAAATTACACAATTTTTATAGTAACTTCATCTTCTTCAACATGTATGTTCCTTTTTTTTCATGATGATGATGATGATTATTATTCTTTAGAAATATTATGTATTTGATTTAATGGCACACTGCAATTACTTTTTATGGCAATTGATATTTTTTAAAAATTTCTTCAATTTTCATGCAGAATTTTGAGGATTAAGGATTTGATTGTTGCAGGTTCTCTCATCTATTAAGGTAAATCTTCATGTTTGATATTATTTTAATTTGGATTTATTTGAGTTTATATGTTTTCTTTCAAAAGAAAATTTCATCAAAACGAATGTTGACTAGAATATCCATCAAGTTTTTCAGAACTTCCCCTTTTTCTTTTTGTTGCTGAAATCCATCAATTTCCATTCTACAATGTTGACTAGAATTTTGAATGCAAAACATACCATAATACTTTGCACATATAAGAAATAGATAGAACTGCTCTCTTCTAGGACCAATGATTTTATAAAAAGTATTTTTCTGGAAATTTCTACCTTTTCTCCTAATAACACCCGTAACACAAAGTGCAGTTCATTGTCTACCTGTAATGAGTATGAATGAAAATTTTCAATAGGATTTCAATGGATCAACAATTCAGGCCAACAAAAGATCCAAATAGAACAAAAGTTAAGAAGTTACTTCTTCTGCCCCTCGCTATATCAATTAAAAGAAGTAATATATATCAATTAAATTATGCCGCCTATAATTCCATAAAAAAATAAAAGGTAACTTGCTTCTGACTGCAATCAAATGAATACTACAAGTGGTGCATAACCAAGCATATAAGAGGTTAAATCCAAACGCAATGTTCTTTAAATTCCATAACCAGAAACTATCATGAAAACGGTCTTGTGAGCAGACAAGCTGAACTGTAATGTGCGTTAGCTGACGAAAGTTGTCATGGGCTGTAGGAATTCTTATGGGAATATAAGCTTAACATCCTTAATTTCCTCTAGAAATGAAAATGTCTCAAAGGATAATTACAGTTCAATGGATCATAAGCTCAAAACCCATGTTAGCCTTAAAATATCCAAATAGAATGAAAGTTGAGAAGTTACTCAAGCGGATTTAATCCATGTTAGCCTTAAAAGGCAGCTGAAAGAAACAATGATGTTTGGCAGCTAATTTTGTTATTATTTCATCTATAGTTGGACCATAAGCTCAAAACCCATGTGATCAAGAATAAATAGTCAAAAATAACAAATATGAACGCACGAAGGTACATGTATAAAAAAGAATGCAGGCTTTCACATGTATATTTGAGTGCATGATATCTGAAAATAAGGACAAATTTTCAAAACCAACCTTTTTCGGTTTTTATTTGAAAAAACCGACCGCTTTTGAAAATATTTACAAAAACCGACCTGTTTTCAGCCCAACGCTGAAAACAGGTCGGTTTTTGTAAAAAGTTTTCCGAAACATCACGGGAGTTCAACTCCCGTGAAGTTTATCGACAAATTAAACTTCACGGGAGTTCAACTCCCGTGAAGTTTAATTCCTTCATAAAACTCCACGGGAGTTCAACTCCCGTGGAGTTATAGTCGCCATACTGGCAGAAGAATTTAACGACAGTGCGATAGCTTCTGTTCAACTCGTCAAAATCTGGGGGATAATGGAAGTAGTCATCAGAGTCGAGGCTGGAAGCTTTGCCGAAGCCGGCGTGCACTGTGGGATCGAACTCGGAGACAGGGACGAGACCTCTCTGATGAAGTTAGCATACTCCATGGGAGTTTTTCTTTTGGCCAACGAAATTGAAGACCTTGAGGATGGGGGGGATGATGTTCAATAGTGTCGTCGAGGCCCTTGAGCTCATGTGTAAGGAAGGATTTCTAAGATCAGTGCCTTCGAGGCGCTCGAGTTCATCAAAGGAGAGATTGTGGTCGGTCGCCGAGGAAATACAGGTTGAGGCGATCGTCCATGCCCGGTGGTCCACTGGGTTCGGTGGGAAACGTGACGGCAAGTTTGAAGAGATGGGAGCCAGGGAAAACGATGGATAAATCGCCGTCGGGGGAACTTAATTTGATCGTCGTCAAGGTGACCTTGACTGGCGAGATCAGCGTCAATGGGGCCTCTTCTGGATAAATCGGCGTCGGTGGGTGGGGGGATATTTGACTGTAACTCCACGGGAGTTGAACTCCCGTGAAGTTTTATGAAGGAATTAAACTTCACGGGAGTTGAACTCCCGTGAAGTTTAATTTGTCGATAAACTTCACGGGAGTTGAACTCCCGTGATGTTTCGGAAAACTTTTTACAAAAACCGACCTGTTTTCAGCGCTGGGCTGAAAACAGGTCGGTTTTTGTAAATATTTTCAAAAGCGGTCAGTTTTTGCAAATAAAAACCGAAAAAGGTTGGTTTTGAAAATTTGTCCCTGAAAATAAAGGTTAAACATGCCCGCCATTGACCTAACTATATTCAGAAATCCAAATATCCAAACTAAAGTATGGCATGTATACCCCCATTCAAGGGTAGAATTAGAGCGGTTAAGCTGTAGTACCTTTGACAGACATATTGTATGTCGTCAGCACTCAACTCTATCAATACACATTTGAAAAAACCCCTATACGCTTCATACAGCTTGATCTCAAAATTTCTTTTTTGAGGAATCATTACCCTTTAAACTATTAGATATCTGTCAAAAAATAATATCATACTTCATACTCCATTTAAAAACACGAGTTTGAGAAAAGCTTTTCATAGTCAAAATTACCATGTACTAATCATACTTATATCCTATCCTAACACCCCACGAACTATCTATAGCTCAACAATTTAAATAAGATATTTTTTTACCTACAAGATAATACCATCTCAATTCCAATTTCATATTCAAGATTTATTCCATAATTACGAGTATCATGTTAGTAAAGAATATCAATAATTTTTATGCAAAATATTAAAATTGAGATATTGAAATAGATAACTAACTAGGCTCTTCAGTTAATAAATTGTTTTATTTTACCTTGCTAATTTATGTCTTCTACAAGTATAATGGACATATCTATGCTCGTAGATTATTGTTTTGCTTGTAATAAGATATGAGTGCTTGCTGCCTAACAGCCTGTATTTAACAGCCCGTATTTAACATCAATAAGATATGAAATTAGTGATAACTTTACATCAATAGCAGGACGTATTTAACAGGTATACACTACACCGAAATAGATATGAAATTCGGCCATAGTGATAACTTCTAAGAGACTTTATCCCCCATTGATATTTTGAAGCACCAATAACCAAATTCAAATCCTAATAAAACTCTAATTATGACTATTATCCTATCACATGCAATACCTCATGCCTATATATAAACCAAAAAATTACATAATTTTCATAATAACTTTATCTCCTTCAACATGTATGTTTATTTTTTATTTTCATGATTTCATGATTATTCTTTACAAATATTGTGTATTTGATTTAATGGTGAAATTTCTTCAATTTTCATGCAGAACTTAGAGGATTCGAGATTTGATTGTTGTATGTTCTCCCATCTATCGAGGTAATAGAAAACAAATACATTTTCTCTGTTTCTTTTTTTTTTGCTTTGCATGCTTTTAATTAATTTCTGTTTTTGTGTAGATTACAATATATTCATACTCATGATTATTTTTGAAATTCAATCATGTGGTTACATATCATTATTTAATTAATTATTTTATTAGTAAACTTTAATATAAGCTCTTCTTAATTTTATTTACTCTTTATCCTTGGATATAATCTAATTTATTACGATTGTTAAAAAAATGCATGTTGTTTGATTACTTACTAAGTACCATCAAAATTATTGTTTAGAAAGAATAGTTGACTAATTTATTCTAAACTCCCTTGATTAAGGTGAATTATAATTTTTAAGTATATTTTTGTCCCCTATTGTTGTTGACATAATTTTCATATGGTTTTTCATTTTCTGACACATATTTTTTTACCTATAGGATAATATCATCTCAATTCTAATTTTGTACTCAAGATTTATTCCATAATTACGAGTATCAGGTTAGTGTAGAATATCAATATTTTTTTATTGTGATAATGATTATAGTTGATTGTTTACTTTTGAATTTTTATGAAAATTTTCACTAATTTGTCCAACTATCTGCATTGCTCATATATATTCATAAATTAATAGTAATATGACATATGATTTTCCTTTGTAGAAATTTATTCTCTGGTTTTTGGATATCATAACTACTATACAACACTTTCTCGCCTAAAATGGCTTCAAGCCAAGGTTTGCATTAAACTCAATAATGAATTATTCATATATTATTATATTAGTATATGTATATGAATTTATAATACTACATGAACATTTTTTTAAACAGAAGAGAACACTCCAATACCCAGAATTAAAAAGACTAAATATTCTCGGTTGAGTGATAAGCAAAAGAAATCTTACATTCAGTGAATTACGGATAATAAGAGAAAGCGACACAGTAATGACTCTTCTGGTAATACTATTGATGGCAAATGACAACATAAAGTTAACCTATTTTGTGGAGCCCTTCTACTAAACTATGAGCATGAAGGTTAGTGTACATATACTTTATAGTTTATTGAAAGAGCCATATAACATTATATATTACTATGAGCATGAAGGTTAGTGTACATATACTTTATAGTTTATTGAAAGAGCCATATAACATTATATATTAGTTTATTAAATATTTATATTATAGTTTATTGAAAGAGCCATATAACATTATATATTAGTTTATTAAATATTTATATTTGTTCTAGGGAAAATTCTTCATGAACCGGTATGTTCTTTACTATATAAGCTACGCACTCTAAAGTCTTGTGCATATTGCGGATCCAAAAAGTTTGAACATGAGCCTCTAACATTTTGTTGTCACAACGGTGAAATCCACCTAGCAGATGTGAATATTCCAAATGAATTATTTGCCCTTTATACAATGCAAACACCAGAGGCAATTGAGTTCCGAAGCCAAACCAGAATGTACAAAGTATTTTCTCATTCACATCGTTTGGGACAAGATTTGATAAAGAGCTCGCATCAAAAAGAAAAGGAGTTTTCACATTTAGAGCACAAGGACAAATATATCATAATCTCCCAGCTCTAATTCCAAAAGAAAATAAGCCTTCATACTTTCAGCTTTACTTCTATGATACAGATAATGAGTTACAAAATCGATTGGGAATTCTACACAATGCAAATATGAGTGAAATCACAACTAAGAGCTTGATGGATATATTACTGTTAGGTCTCATGTTATGAGCCTACATTTTCTAATCTTGTTTTGATGATTACAAACAATTCCTAATATTGTTTGTCTAGTGTTTATGTTTCTTATTAAGTATTCTAGACAAACAATGTGTTGGAGGATGGATGGAATTGCGCATTCACGATCATATCCAATGGAGGTTGGCGGAGTAGTGGTTGAAGCCTTGCAATTCATGTTAAAGATCCAAGTCTAGCTTCATCCGCAAGTGTACCAAGATAGAGCTTCGTTGAAGATCATCAAGCTTGAGTAATTTAGTTTAGGTTTTATATTATGTGTGTTAGTACTTTAAGCTCAATTATATACACACATACACGTTTTGTTTTTTTGTATATATATAGTTATATATATACATATATGTTTTGGTTTGATTTTTTAGATATGAAACAAATATATATTCATATATATGTTCATATGTTTCATATTCTATCATATTTGAAAATATATTGTGTTCTTGGTTTATGGACTTGATAATATGTTTTTATATCTTTTCCTAAGTCTATAAAGCCATACAAAAGTTTCCAAAAGTTTGTTTATGTCAAATGTCAAAAACATGTATGTTTACTTTTCATGTTTTGGACTAATTTTATAAAATTATGAGTTTTCACTATTGGGGAATGTAATTCTAAAAATTCTTTTTATAACATGTTTATTATCATGTTTATAAACATTTTCCAAAGTTTCATAATTTTTAGAATTTATTTGTTATTTTTAAAGGCACTTTAAAAATTAATTTTCCAGCATGAACAGTGCCTGTGCACGTTTATAAGTCGACTTATAAACCCTAACAAGTTGACTTATGAACTCCTCTGGAAAGTGTATTTTTTCTCTGCTGAGTCGACTTATTCATGAACACAAGTCGACTTATGATAAGTCGAATGCATGTCGACTTATAGGCAGAATTTTGTGTGTTATTTTTATCTGGAAAGTCGACTCGTGTGAATTTTCAAGTCGACTTATACTAAGTCGAATGCAAGTCGACTTATACTAAGTCGAATGCAAGTCGACTTATAAATATGACCGTTGAACAGTAACGGTTATTTTCCAGATCTGTTTTTGTGTGGGTTTTTGGTCATTTCCTTGGGGTTTTGGCTGATGTCTTAGGTTGTTATAAATACCCCATTGCATTTACCTCTCCCACCTAACAAGAGAAAAGTTTTTAAGAGGTTTACAAGTTTTGTTTAAGGGTTTAGTGCTTGTTTAAAAAGATTTTAAGCATTTACAAGAGTTTGGTTTGTGGAGCAAATTTCACAAGGGCAAGTGGAGATCATCCTTGGTGTTTGAGCATTCATTCTTCTCCCTATCTCTTGTCATCTATAGAGAAGTTTTCTTAAACTCAATTCTAGCTATTTATTGTTTTGTTTCTAATTTCCATAAGCTAGATTTCAATATTGAGTTTAATTGTTTTATTGATATCTCTTTGTTCACACACAACCTATTGAGCTTATTGTATTTACATTCATAGTATAATTTGAGGTTGTGGGTTTGTGACATTAAGAGTGAGCTTATATTGTGTTCTCACCTTGTTTAGAGAACAAATCATTTGTTGTATTGAGCGTTAATTGTAAGGTCACAGTGTATAGAGACGGGGTTGTCCCAAGAGGAGTGGGGTAGGTGATAATGCCTAGAGAGAGGTTATAATTCCTAACATTTGAGGGAGACACGGGCTAGAGACCAACACTTGAGGTGGTAGTTAGTGTAGTTATATTGTGTGGATTGTAAAGTTTTCGGTTAGCTAGAAAACCGTATTGTGAAGTGTAAACGTTTTTCGGGTAAGCGTAGAAAACCCGGTGTGATAGTGGAGATCTCCTCGAGGTGAGGAGCGGGGACGTAGGTCAGGCGGACCGAACCTCGTAAACATATCGTTTTGTTTGTGTTTACATTGGCGCACTTATTCTTGTTTTCATATCTTATATCGCCTTTGTGTATTGCTCATCATATTGCCCTATCACTTGTGTAGATTGTTTATTTTACTTGCTAGGATATTTGTTAATAAGTTTTAAATTGGCATAAATCGGATTAGATTAGCATAAACCCTATTCACCCCCCTCTAGGGTTCCTTCCTAGCGGTATTAGGGTACTTTCAATTGGTATCAGAGATTGGTGCTCTTTGATTTAAGGTCTAACCACCTTGAGTTAAAGATCCAAGTTATCTTTTTGTGCTAATCTAGTTTTGCAATTTATTGATTACATTGCTTGCATATTTATATTATTATGGCTATGAATGATGCATCTTGTTTAGGCTATGATCCTAGTGTTGCTCCCAAATTCAATGCTTTCTCTTATGCTCAATGGTGTTTTAGATTCAAAATATTTGTTCAATCTAAAAATATCGATTTATGGGAAGTTATTGATTGTGCTTATGTTGTGCCCACTTTGGCGAAATCCAAGTGGAGCAAACATGATAAAAAGATGTTTACTATGAACAAGCTTGTGTTAGAATTTCTATTAAATGCATTTGATTCATCAATATCTAACAAGCTTGATTCTTTTGATAGTGCTTACAAATTGTGGAAATTCATAGAAGCACATCAAGGGAACTTGGAGGCTATCCGACAAGCTTTGACGGGTTCCTCTTCAAGTTCTATTGGAGCATCACCATCATGCACACGGCCACTAGGCGATAGGCCTAGTGTGGTAAGCGATTCGGAATCCGATGATGATCTATCTATTAATGAACTCACTTGTGCATATGATAGATTAGCGCATGCCTACAAGAAATTGCAAAATGATTTTATTGACTTAAAAAGCAAGCATGTTAATTTGAAATCCGGTCATGAGTTGCTAGGTTCCAAATTTGATGTCATATCAAAAGAAAATACTATACTTAAAGAAAATAATGACTTATTAAATTTGGAAAATGAAAAATTGACATCATCCATTTCTAGCTTATCTCATGCTAAGAACAATGCCATATTAGAAGTAGAGAACATACAAAATGATACTGCCTCCTTTATAAATGACTATTTATGTTCTACTTCTAAAAGTGCATATGTGCCTAAAAATGAAGACTTGAATCTTATGAAAAAATGCATTTCATCTTTAGATTCAACCTTGAAAATATGCTTTGATAATCATAAGAAACTTATGGATATGTGTGCCAAGTCTAAGTCAAAATCATCCACTCATTATGCACACATATATAGCAAAGTTTACAAATGCTCTATTTGTGGCCGAAGAGGTCATTTATCTAAATTTTTCTATGATGCACACAAGAATAAAATTGCTAATGCTCATTGTGCATCTCATCAAGTCTCTTCATCACATATACACACACATGCACATAAAGTACATCATAAGCATGCTCATGTGTATCAATGTGATCTTTGTGGTCGTTTTGGTCATTTGGCCAAGTATTGTTTTGATTTAAAAAGAAAATCTAGTTTGCCGAATGTTTCTAGTAGACCACAAGTGTTTAAATGTAATGTTTGTGGTAGGTTTGGACATCTTGCAAAATTTTGTTATGATATACAAAAATCTTCTAAGTTGCAATATGTTCCAAATAGACCATTGTTTAAGAATATTTCTCATTTACAAAATAATCTTAAAAGAAAATTTTTATTTGCAAATGATTCACGTGCACGAGCTAATGGTCCACAAAAATAAATGGATCTCTTTCATTGCACAAATTACAATCGGAAGGGTCATTTGAGCGATTATTGCTTTGACCGTGTTAGTGCACCACATGTGCCCAAGAGGGCTCATAACCCTAGGGCTTTGAGCTTTATTGATAGGGGTCATGTCCCTAAACAATCCGGCACCAAGAATTCTTGGGTGCC